CAGAATGTTAAATAAAAGAACAAAACACAAGTCATTCTACCGACCAGCTTCTTGTATTTGTCTCTCTTCAATAGATGTTGATTTCCAAATAGTTTGAGAATATCTGCTCTTTCACACCAAGGCCATATCATGAAATCTAGCATTCCGGGTTTACTACCTCCAAAGAATGGACCGACTCTATCTCCAAGTTCATTTTCAAATGTGGTGAGCCCGTTAGAGATAGCTTCGTCATCGTCCAAACTTATTCTACCAACATTCATCATCACCCTGTACATTGTACTGATCACCTGAAAGCGAAAAATAACACTAATATTAGAAATATGATAGAACCGATCGATTCTTGATGAGAATCCATTATAACGTATTCCAAAAAACCGTAATGAAAGATTTTCACTTGACAGTTTACAAAACACGTGTTTTGACAAGAATTGTGACGCCTGTATAGCGAAAGCAGTGGCGTAGCGTGGGTATCGACTGCCTGGGGCGGAAGACAATTTTGTCGCCCTCTTAATTAGGTATTTCAATTTAATGTATACTATACAATATATATATTAATTCTAGAGAACTTTTCGGCAAGAATAGTTAGATTTTAAATTAAAAAGTTTATTTATTTTACAATCTTTTATTTACTAGGCATTCAATTCAGATGGTAACCAGTGGCATTGCGACAAATCAGAGTCTTCGTGAATTTCTCCAAGTCGACAAGCTACGAAAATCGGGAATCTTTTTGATTCAGACCTGATTTGATGAATAACAACCATTGAGTCAGTCCAGAAGTAAACTTTATCAATTTCATATTCCAGTTCCTTCCTTATAGATTTTGCCATTCTACATGCAAGCACTGCTCCTTGTAACTCCAATTTCGGGATGGTTTGTTGATTCATTGGAGCAACTTTGCTGCTAGAAATGAAATGTGGACTTCGTCATTTTCAACCATCCTCAAAAAGGTGACTGCTGCATATGCCTCATCACTTGCATCGGAAAATAAATGCAAATCAACTTTGTTGATTAACGTAGAATAAGGAAAGTAATATCTATTGATAGTGACGGGAGTATAATGTTTCAATTGGGTCAACCATTTCAGCCAGGTGTACAAAAGTTCTTCTGTTATAGCTTGATCCCAATTAATATGACTTCTCCATATATTCTGAATCAGAATTCCAGCATTTATCATGAGAGGAGCAAGAAAACCAGCAAGCGGGTCAAATACTGACATAACCGTGCGCAGTACTTCCCTTTTTGTTGGTACCTTCTCTACATAGCAGATTTCATCAGGGATTTTTTTCATGTTCAATATAAATACAAAATCGTCAGTCGTAGGAGACCAGGATATGCCCAGAACTCTTTTTAACATTTTTGAGTCCAGTTTCACATCTACTTGAGAATTAGCACGAAAGTTCTCTGGAATCGACTGCTTTACTTCATTCGAATTACTTATCCACTTCACCATATCAAAATTTACCTCTTTATGAACAACAATAACATTTCGAATTCTATCGATAGCTTCATCTATCGTATGGCAAGAGTCCAAGTAATCGTCCACGTAATGTTGTTTCTCCATTGCACGGACAATCCCTGGATATTTATCTTCTAACGACGCTGCATTTTTGTTTTTTACAAACTGTGCTGCAGACGGGGACGATATTGCACTAAAAATCATCACCTTCATTTCGTAAACATCTGGACTTTGGTTTCTCTCCATACCTCGCCATAAAAATAATTGTGCACATCTGTCTTCCTCGATAATTTAAACTCTATGAAACATATCTCTGATATCACCTCCAAAAGCAATTCTTCCTTGTCTGAATCGCCACAAGACAGATATCAAAGATGGAACGCAGTCAGGACCTTGGCAAAGGAAATCGTTTAGACTCACACTTTGAGATTTTGCCGCAGCGTCAAAAACCAGGCGAATATTTCCATGTTTGTTGATATTCGCAACCCCAAAGTGTGGAAGATACCATCAGTTGTTTTTATTATTCTGAACTTCAGATGGATGTAACTTCCTGGCGTATCCTTTTTGAAGATACTCAGTAATCTTTGCAGTATACTCTTCAGCAAATTTGGCATCCTTGTCCATTTTTCGTTCCATACAATACAGGCGATTCAGGGTATTGGTTTTACTGGGCGGTAGAGTAAGGTTGTCACGTTTCCATAAGTGCCCTATTTCATAATGATTACCGACTTTCTTCAGAGTTCTTTCCATGATCTCCACAGCCCTTTTGTCTTCGATTGATTTGATAACATTGTCTGGTATTTTCACATCAAAAGCTTCAAGACGAAAAGTATCTTTCACCATTTCATGCAGTTTGTCATCATTCAAATGTCTGCAACAAAGAGTTACATGGGAAAGAAAGGTTTCAGTTTCACTGGTAGGACCATGTACTTACTGTCTATCCTAATTTACATTGAGACATAATGGGCTGATGCAGTTGTGGTTCGATGATATTTCTTGGTACTATGAGGCCACAATTATCCTGACCGATAACAGCTCCGGTTTAGCATTTCTTATTGATGCCAATAGATCACGGTCTAAATGAGGATATTTTTCGTTCAAGTTATCAACATCTATTTCTTGAGATGGAA